TCGTAACTCACTGAAAATTTTAATTTTGTGGTCTGTTAGGATCAGAGAGCTCTGCTATTGCTGGATTGTCGACAACTAAATGCTGCTCGGGAACTTTACTAAGTCTACAAAAATAAAAGATGAAACGGTACATTAAAGATGGTAATTAGCTTTAAAATTTTGTAAGTATGCCCAATTGAAATTGCATGTCATTTTGAAAAAAAAATATTATAGAAATAATAAATTAAGGAAAATTTAATAAGTAAAATAGTCATAAGCAGATTCTTAACTTATTGCCTCTTAATTATGACAAAGTAAACTAGGAACTGTTAAGGCCATCAATCAGGATCATTAAGATGTAATACGTAAAAAAGCGCAAACAATAAAATGATAATTAAAACAAGCTTATTCATAAAAGAAAGTTTAGGCACCTCAAGGTGCACGCATGTTTGTATGACCCAAAGCTTCAAATACATTTGATGAAAATCACGCTTAAAATATATAATTTGGAAATAAATGGGTAAAATGAAAAGTGTTTTCTTCTTAGAAATAAACAAAGAAATATTTTTTTACCGCTGAATCAAAGCTTGTTTCTCATGATTGAGTGCATTCAGATTACCCTCCTAACTCTTTTCTTATGCCTTTAAGATGATCAATAAGTTTCATCGCGCTTTTGTTTGAATCTATCAGGAACGTTATTTCATCTTCTTGATTCTGTACTTTAACTGTAACTCTTTTATGCATTGGTCGGTATTTCGTTCTGTTCCTTTTTCTCTGTTAAATTAAATTAAAACAAGATTATTGTTAAAAATAGAATGTTCTAGCTCTTTCTTTATTCAAGTGAACAGATGTAATATGTCTGTCAATTGCTTTTATATCTTTTAATGTTAAATTCGAAAGTGTTTAGACATAGATAATCAATTAAGACCTGTGACTCTTGCTTCAAATGTTATGAACGCATAATAAATTTATCATACTACGGTGTTAAATTTGTGTGTACATATTCTTAGATTCTGACAAACAGATACATTAATTATAATTAAAATAAATCACTTTACATGAGTTTCTTGTTTAGATTGTTCCTGTCCACGTCCTTGTTGTGCCTGGTGTGAATCATTTCTAGATTGAATTATTCAGAACTTGATAATTGGAGGTTTGCATATACAAAATGTACATGTGAATGATAATAAAATGACTTCTTATGTTGAATAAAATATTAAAAGACTTCATATATTTATAATGATTAAATGTCTTGATATATATTATAATCAAATAGCTTCATATATATAAAACGGCATATTGTCATGTATATATATATATATGAGATACCTAACTATTTTTTTATTTTTTTTAAAGTAAATAAGAAAAGTATTATTTACAATTAGGACAAAATAGAAAATATTCTATGTTTCAAGTAATTTTCAGTATATAATTACAGAAACATTTTAATTTGTATCAGGAACTGTTTGAAGAATTCTGATAGGATACCTTTTCGTTTCATTAACAGTTTGAGACAATAGTGCCTCGATATCTTTATGAGCCTTTCTGAGCCTTTCATTTTCTTTCATTTGCCTGTTCAATTCTGTTCTTAGATGCTGTATTTCTTCGGAGTCGGCTTGTCTTATGTTCGTTTGACTGGCCGGTCCCATCTTTTAGATAAGAACATTGTCAAATGCTAAAAGTGCCTTTTATATGCATGTATACAAATACAAATTTATTCTCAATTGTATTTTGTATTTCAAATTTATTATACCAATCATTGACTGACAGGTATCTACTTAACGTTGAAGAAGGTTAATAGGTCAGTATATTTTGTATTCAGTTATCTGATTCAATATGAAAACATATACATGTATGTATTACAACTATAATCAAATACAATTATATCTTTACTTTAATCAAACTGATACAAATAAACGTTTTGATATAATAAAATCTGATATCATTCTCGTATAACCTTTCATGTATTAAAAGTAAATACATACCATGTCCTCATTGAATATATGTATCTTATTTTCTAGATCCTTCATTATCTGACAAATAAGGGATCTTGCATTGCCATCAAATCTCATCTCTCTTTGTAAGCTTCTAATGGTATGTGATGTTTTATAACATTCGCCATCCAACACTTTATACAAATCAGAGGTCTTCATTAAATGGTAGGGTACTTGGTTCTTACTTAGACCTCGGTCTAATACATGTACGTTGCCCATCCTTTTTGTCTTTAAAGAAAAACTGTTATTATGAAGTAGAAAACCAATCAATCTATGAATGTTTATAACTTTATATATTTGTTTCCTATATATATGTATTCCCATCTAAACACAACGGTGAGGTGTTAAATTAATAAAAAAGAAAAGTTTACAGGAAACTACAATTGTATTTTCGATTAAACCCTAGGAATCTTATAATGAAGTAAAACTCGATCAAAACAGTACTGCTAACTGACCTATGTCAGCTTAAATATTTAATAATATTCTATATATTTAATCAAAATGTTTTATAAAATAGTTCGTGTTTCATTGTACGTAGGTTATATATATAATTAGCTATAAAGGGAAAGGAATTCAGCTTAGATCTAATGATTTATAATAAACAGTTATCTGACGGATAAAATCAATACCGTACTGATTATGACCTTGATATGCTTGCAATAAACCAATGTTATAATAAACATGTTAACTGAAATAGATAAATATTTAGAGTATTTAGGGTGTTCAATGTTATGGTTTGATTAAAAAATGATTTAAAACTGTAAATGAAATGCTCTATAATTTTGAAGGTTGTTTTGTGTAAACATGTTATATATGATAACAATAATTTTACATAGTGTTCGGTATCTAGTTTAAATGTCAAAATATTGGGAACTTGTATGCATTCATAAGCAAATTAAAAAAAAATTTACATATTGTGTAATTTGTTCCAATCAAATTTTTCCAAAAAATTATTTCGTCTGTTTAATTTTCCGCGAAAGGTTTTTCACTGTAAAATTCGATTGAAATTTACGTGAAAATTTTAAATTTTTAAAAGGGGGTTTTATTGTTTTAAAATTCTGACTTTACTCTTTTTAAAAGATATAAAATTAACTAGAAATGGTCAGGGTTTAAAATAGTGGCTATAAACGAAAAATATATTCTACCTAAGGTGATTTAAAATTTTTTACAAAAATTTCATAACAATTAACTGTTGCAAAGATCATTTAAAAATGATCCCATGTCATGATATATGTTTTTTTTAAATTAACACAATTTGGGAAATTTTTGGTTTTTTTAAAAAGTTGTGTATCCGCTGTCATAAAGGGAAAATTAAATTAAAATATTGACAACAACATTTATATTGCTTTATCACATAAACCGCGGCGCAGGAGTGTAATAAAGCCATTTAATAATCAAAGCACTGAATGTACTGATGGGGAGGCTATGAGAGAATGTTTCAGACTTACAGTTTCTTTTCTTTTTGCTTAAGATATGCTACCAAAATAAAAAGATATGCACATTGCGCTATTTATCCTTACTGTTGTGTTCAACCATTCATATATATGGTTAATGTGGTTGACTATTCATTTTGTTAATATTCCAGAACATTTCATTGAGGTGTCCATTCGGACTGTTAATCATGCAAATTTTGAAAAACCTAAACTGTCAATAATAAATGACATACCAGCAAGTATGACGACTGTTCATTATCAGATAACAATAACATTTTACAACTGACGGTTCCTTATCAAAATATTATAGGACTGTTCATCATAAATATTTTATGTCATTTTAATATTATTGAATGATAATAACAACTGCAAGTGATGCAACATTTTTATTGAACATAAAAATTATACACGTTTAGCTGTACCATAATTGAGATCAATAAGATACTGTCTTGTGATAAGTATTAATATTCATGCTCTACGGACAGAAGGTTGTCTTCTCCAGAAGCAAATCTCGAATAAAATCACGTTTCAGAAAATTATTCCTATTTCATTACTGACGGCGTCGGATAATATTAAAGCTAAATATTTCTTGAAAGAATACATATCTGCAAAGCTTATTCAAAACTGAATCAACCTAAGTGAAAATTGATCAGGAAGTTATATCTTCTTTTTATACCGCCAACACTCAACCAACTTATGGTAGTTAATCGATAGATTTTACGTGTATTTTTAAACCTCACTAGCTTGAAATATATACTGCGGAAAATCTGTTGTTAACAGGGTGTGCGGTTATTACGTAGGGTTTCCCTGTCGACCATTTCCCGCAAATAGATGAGAACATCGAAGCCGACAGTGCTATGAATGGTGTTATAAATGGCGTGTTTTGGAAGTGTTTGTTGAAACTTCTCCAAATCCCTCCAGAGGCGTGCACGTCGCGGAGAAGGTACACGGAAGGTCATAGTCAATTCATCAGAAGTACCAGAGGTGATTGGTTGACCTGTCGTGACTTACTCTGGAGGTTTGGCGCTAATAGATGCCGTTTTTGTTGTCGTCAGTCAGAAAGTTGATGCCTTGACGGTATTGTCGTCTCCTTTACCACCAAAGAACGAAGAATGGGCTTCCAGGAAGAATCTGCTTGAAAAAGACGTTCCAGATGCTATAATCTCGGACATATGGTTATTCCGGTGCCGAGTATAAATAAACTTAAAACACACACACTTTTGTTGAAAAAAAACAAAAAAAAACAACAACACATTTTCTGTAGTAATTTTTCAAGTGTTGTAAAATGAATAAGAAATTCCTCTTATGCCGCCGATTATTTTTAGAACACAAACATAAAAGTTCTTTTTTTTTATTTTTCAAATAAACATTAATCACTTCAGCGCGCGCAAATATCGTTTTCAAATTAAAGTTTCGTAAGATATTTTAATGACTTCCTGATGCTCGACTGTAAGTAATTTGTATATGTATGCGTTTTTTTTTTGTTTTTTGTTTTTTAATTAAAGCTTCTTATTCTTTAATATTTTTATGTATCTCATAATCTGTATTGAAAATTTGAATTTTATTACACATGGACTATCAAATTATGATGTATGCCCTAGAATTGAATAAACTTTCTAATTACACAATACGGGGTCATACTGATCTTTGCGTCTTTCTCTGAAATAATTATTTCCTTGTTAAAACATATTTGACCACATATTTCTGTCAATTAACTGTTCACTTTACTTCCGATTTTTGTTGTACGGAAACACATGTTTTTATTTGTGTTTTCTAATCAATTCGAATCTATAATCAGTTTAATGGGATCACCACCGGGTAAACGACTACTAGGTACTTCGGTCATGTTTTTTACCCCAAATATTTGAATGTTTCTATTGGGATTAAAATGAGCATAGTTAACTAAACAACTGGTTGTATAAATCCCTGACCTGTATAATTCTAATTATGAGATTAGTGAATATATAAGACTTTCACTACAAAATATTCCTAAACAAAAGAGCACATGTTTAAATTTATTCCTATACAAATAAAAGATCAGAGTAGGGATCTGTCAATTGCCAAAGATACTTTTATGTTAAAAGTTTGATTAATGAATTATGTAAGATGAAAATATAAGTATTGCTTTTTATTTTGCTAATGTAAAATGTAATATTGTGCTGGAATTTTGTCGGAGGGTCCTTAGGGGTTTTGTAGTTAAATAGTTTTTTTTCGGCGATAATGGTTCAAGAATATAATGTTTTCAAACTATATGTTCATCACCATCAGTGAATTTTTAGTTAAATGTATGCAAAATATTTACCAACAGCTATATGATATAGCGGTTTATGACCGTTTTCCGCGTACAGCCTCCTGGGGTGTACTAATAAGTTAGTTTTCCTTAGTTATCACGCAAGCATGACCCATGTCTCTGATGTAAGCGACAGTTTACAATTATTTGTCTTTAAAAAATATTAAGGACTATTAATGGTTTATAACAACAAAAGAGCATGCATGATATTGAGAATACGGTGTTGCAACGTTCTAGTTAATGACCTGTCATAAACAGTTGGTCGCTGCGTAGTAATTGGAAAATTTTTATCAAAAATAATAAAGAATATTTGCCACTAAATTAAAGCATTTACTTATAAATTTTCATTTATGCTTTTTGTTAAAAAAATATTGATAAAGTTATTATTTTGAAGGGTGTTCATACCAGAACTATTTATTACAGACGTATGTATGCCTAAACCTGATAACCGCGGCAGTATGACGTCACAGAGTAGTGATTTAAACAAAAATCAAGAATTTTTCAGAGAATTATTATCTTTACAAATTGCAGATATGAAATTAAAGAATGAAAATATTTTCATATTGTAAATGTCTGTGATGAGTGATGAGTCAGCTTAGAAAAAATCAAGGTACTATTTTTGACCTGATTACCGCGGCAGTAAGATTTGACGGACGGTTATTAACATTGGGTCGGCATAGCCTCCCCAAAAACGATATTACACTAGTGTAATAACACTTTGACGTGACGTCATTTGCGCTATATAAAAACATAGCGTTAAAGCGCGCTAATGTTAGCGTTACACTATGGGCGCGTCATTGAAAAATTACTCATTTTAACAGTTTAATGTTCTTATTTTATATATGTGATAAATAGAATATAATATTCGTGTAGATTCAATACTAAATTTATTGAACTCGTTGAATAAAACAATATTATGCTCGCCATATAATATGATTTTATTCACTCGTTCAATAAATTTAGAATTTAACTACACTCATTCAATATCCTATATTTATCATAAACATATTTAATTGAACAACCAATACGAAATAAGAAATAATACAATTCCGAGAATTTATCAATCAGCCCTCGTGCATCTGTTAAACGTACAAAATTAAAGGAATTCTCAAAATAAATCTAGTATAAAAGTTTTAATTTAATTTATAAAGATCCTGTTAATTATTATATTTTTATTTGATGTCTTTATGTGATCATATGTTTTGCACTTTTATTTTAAACTACTTAATAATCTTTCATTTCCTCTCTGATTTTTAAACGGTTTTTACTACAACGGTAAAAGATAATTTAACATATACAACAACAATCATGTAGATAAAGATATTATATTTATCATTTAGATATGAATACTATATTTATAAGGAATTTAAAGATGGTACCTACTATTAAAATAGGTTAATCTTTTTTTATGGTAAGCTTGTTCTTTTATATAGGAAAAAGACTGTTCTCTATCGAATGTATATATCTAGAAGTTTATCTAGAAACCTGTATACATCAACACAATTACTGACAGTGCTGAAAAAAACAAACT